TAATTAACAATATGCGTGAAACAATGATAATAATTTTTTTTATTATACTTAGTATATTTTATAAAATCTAATATCTTTTAAATAAAAAAAAAACAAATTGTATTTACAAATAATAATTAAAGCTTGGAAAGTAAAAAAAATAAGAAAAAATTGTTTTCTTTTTGAGTTATTATATTTGTGAAAAAAAAAATGATTAGATTGTAATAAAATATTATAATATTAGTTTATAGTAAAACATTGTCTCAGTTAGTTTATTTAATACTATGGTTTATTATTTCTTCAGATGTAAAATGAATTGTATATTAATCATATTTAAGTAATTAAGATTGTGTATAGTTCAAATTAACATAACACAGCAGTTTTTAGTTCAATTTCATTCAATAGAAATATTTCTTTGCGAAAATGTTTGAAAGCTTGCGTTTATTTATGGGAGTGTAATAAAAAGAGCAAAATAAATAAATTAGTAACAGAAAAATATAATATTAGTATGTATGCATTTAAGTAGATTCGTTTCCTAAGTAGATTGGATGCCTGCAGAAGGGGAATGAAAAAAGGGACCTCGGAAAATTCGCGAAGCGGAAAACTGTTTGCCGAAAGGGACTGCTGTATAGGAATGGAAAATAAAAAGAAAAAACTGTGTTCTGTGGGTGAGATTCAATCAATTTAAAATAGTAGTAATAATATTATTATAAAAAATTAAAAAAAACTTCTCACCGAACTGAGTTCTAATTAAAATCCATTCCAATTGAGTGCGAAACTAAATGAAGTCAAGAACAAAAAATAAAAAATACACCAGATATGCACAAGATGAACAGTTCTTATAATCCGATGTGATCACTGCCGGAGTCTGCACCGAACTGAGTCTGTGGGATGGATGATGAAGAGACCACGTGGGAGAGACGCGCGATGTATTTTATAAACACAGATTGGGGCACAAAAAAATATGTTCGAGAGAAACGTGAAGGGCCCTCAGAGCCGGAGTGGAACGGTGGAATCACAAAAATATCTTTATCGTTTAAACAACTGCACATGTGTCGAAGTTTCACGACGATTGTTTTAAAAATACCCTCCACCGGTTTTTAGGAGCAGATACCCCAACGCGAATCGACTAAAGGGCCGGAGGAATTGAGGCCAACTGGCGTTTAAGGGAGCAGATGAACCTTCCAGCTTGGAACGCGGCGGAGGACTGAAGACCTCCTCGGACAGGTTCTCTCGAGGACAGGTGCACGGACAGAGAAAGAAGTGGTTAGTAGTAGAAGAAGAAGGAGTGCTGCTCACCTGAATGGCAGCAGAACGGATGTTACTACAGATTCGGGGACAGGTGGAAGGGAATTATTCCGTAATTATGCTCTAAAGATGAAGCAGAAAGGAATAGAGAAGACGAAGAGAAGAGCTGCACACGATAAAAAGCTGGTTTTCAGAGTGCCTACAACGGCAGCAGCATCGGATCAACCATCAGGTCAATCTCATCTACCTCTTCTCACTGCTACTACACTCTTGCATAGATACTCACGCACATTTCACAAACACACACAACTCACATATATTTATATATACACAGGATGTTTTACCACGCAAAATACAATTTATATAACCACGCACATCAATTTGTAGTAATGAATTCTTGTATATTAGAATATTTTAGTAATATACATCTTCTTATAATTTTTATTAAAATTAAAGAAATTTAATAATTAATACTCAAAGATATTAGTGAACTATCAACTTTAGGCCGTTACAATTATTTTTTGGATGTAATTATTTCTGTAATTCTATAATTTCATTTGAAAATTCATTATAAAAAAAAAGGAAAATTTTACAACTATATCTTAGATATTAAAAAATATCAGACAAAAAAAGCAATTGTTATTTTTTGTACATATTCATATGTAAGTTAAAAATTCTTTGCATTTACGTATTCGTTTGTTTATAATTAGTTTTCATTTTACGAATTATTATTTTTCGAAATTATATATGAACGAATTTATGAATACAGTGGAACCTCGCATAACGAGCATTTCTTTTAACGAACGAAATGAATTGTAAGAAAAATGATTCGCTTAACGAGCGACGTTTCACATAACGAGCGACAATGAGAAGAGAAGTCACGAATTGCGCGCCTTGTACATCATTTTGAAACTTGTTTTTGAATATGTTTCACTATACGAGTAAAAATCCGGAAATTTTGGAATGAATTGAACTCTTTAAGCGAGGTTCCACTGTATTGTAATTTATAAAAAATGTTATTCATTTTATAATCGGAGTACATTTTAGTAGAATTTTCTTCAAATGTATTCCCGTTATGATGAACAATATTTCGCAAAGATATTTATTATAACATTTATAAAAAGTAATAAAATTACCTGTCATTATTTCATTAGTTAAACGCTTGTTCTTAATTACAACATCTGCGAACGAATCTCATCTATACCAGCTGTTTCTAATATTATTCAATTGCAAACGTAATTACCTATTGCTATTTATTATTCTACTCACTTTCCATTTATTATATCAATAGATAATATACATCTGGTGTCTTTTTTTTATAATACAGCAAATAGTACAATGAGCTTCAATTTCGTAAAAGCTATTATAACTGGTTTTTATACTTTATTATGTTTAGAGGAAGCATATCCTTACCTCAATAACTCGAAGCCTGAAATTCTATATAACAAAAAATAATAAAGTAGTGAATATTTAAGCTATTCCTACATTATTATCTCATAGCTCATATGCTATAGACTTAGATCAATTTGGCGGGATAATTGAAACAAATGTTTTTTCTCTAAAGTTTGAGTCATTTTACCGATTTCTTTTTCGTGTCGATGTCATTAACGGCCGATGATGATGAAATCATTAAAATGTATATCGGAGGATGCCATAAATTATAATCAGGCGTTCCACTCTGCACTTAAAGCGCTCTTCGTGTTCAGCTTACCACTCGAATCCAACGCTAGACCTTCTCCTACATAAGGAATTGATCAAAATCCTGAAGAGCGAAAGAAACAAAGAGAAAGTCGATGTCAGTTCTGTTTATGTTCATTTTTATTCGGACCATGTGGGATGTTTGTGTATGTTTTTTTCGCGTCTCCAATCCAGAGGCCCACGCGTTCCTACCAAACTTAGACAAACGCCAACGAAGTCCTCGCGATTGAAAATATTAAAATCCAAATGTTGAAATCTCTTCACCGAATCCGCTCCTTCGATTTAATTAACATGCAATCCGTTTTACGTAATTTTAAGTAAACAAAAGTAAGTGAGTGTTTCGTTCGGATTTAAGTAAAAGTTCGCGTGCAGAAACGTCGTTAGTCCCTCCTCTCTCCGTCTACCCGTGCACTCGGCTGCACCTGCTCAATCCAACAAGTAGGTGCAACATTTACTTCGTCTTCTTTGCATATGGATTAAGCAATAAGAAACCGGAGTGAGGGGCAGCTCGGATCTGCATGCAAGAAGGAGATGGAGATCCAGTTTGAACGCACTTTAAGATCTGACACGATTCGCCTGTTAAAAAACGCTTTTAAACTTTAAATTTCATCACCTATAAACTAAACACTGTTGGCATTTAACCGAGTCCAAATGACGCAATTAGGTAAAGCTTTGCTCCAGAGATATCCGCTTGCTGAGCGACAAGATTCCAGGTTTATCAGATGATGCTTGAACTTTAAACAGAAAAAATATTTCTCACATATTATTGTTGTTAATTTTGCATAATTGAAATGTTCTGAAAGTAAACAAAATCTGTATTCAATTGTTAATCTATTAGTGCTGCGTAGATATATAATTGTGTAACTATTGCAACTCTTAAAGGTTATAATACTTTTATACTATACTTTTTTATGTCTAAACATTTTTTGTAATTGTATATTTCTTGAAATAATACTGTAATAATTTATTAACAATTTCTGTAATATATTTATAAATTAATTATATTTAATTGATTCTTTTTATGTTGTATCAACACAACAATGAATTATAAATTGTGATGAATTTAAGAAATTGAATATATTATATTATTTTTGTACGTGTCTACATTCTAATTATTAAAATATTTAGTTTATATTATTTTAAGAATATATTTATCACTGTATATTATAAATTTTTATAATTATTTATACCAGAGATTCCTAAACTTTTAAACATCGCGACCTACTTTTTAGAAATCAAATCTTTAGCGACCGTCCTCTTTCAATACTTTTATTATATAATTGTTCTTACTTTCGATATATATATATGAAATTAAATGTTTAAACATTAAAATATACATTCCAGATCTTGTCACGACCAAAAATTGTCTCGCTATTCACAGTTTGGGAAACGCTGATGTAGGTTTTGTAACATAATAAACTTAGAACACAATTTAATACCATTTATATGACATTTTTTGAATTATATATTAGTAGCATATACAATTAATAATAGTTTTTGTTTATTTGTTTTTACAATATAACTCTTTCTGAATTACGTTGTTCATTTATTGCGAATATATAAGTACCTGTCATGTTTGATATAAGCAAGTGTTAAGCACATTTCGTACACAATAGATGTGACATTACGCATTTACGTCAATTCATTTTCAATGATTAATATTTTTTACGTTTTTTCCTTACTGTCAATAATAAAAAAGTTATTTCTTCGATTTCAGTTTTATGGATATAAATATTTGAGAAGATTAACTGGATGGAAGGACGTGGGGCGGAGGAAAGGAATCGAAGAAGTGTAATTAATGGTGGATGGAAAGAGAGTATTATGAAACACTGTATTACGTTTTTCTTTTTCCTAAACGATGGTGTGCGGTTTTCCCCTCTTTTATCGCGGAGTGAATGTATTTCATCGATTTCATTTAGATAAAGAAATAAAATAATTTAGTGTCCATAAAGCGGTGGGCGGCGGCGGCTGAATGAATGGCTTCGATGGAAAAAGAGAGAAAGAGCCTTCGAAGCTTCAAATAAATCGCTTGTATCTCCTATATACAGGGTGATTATAATTGCAATACGTGATCTCAATTCGAAAAGTTCTAATTCACGTTAAATAATGCATACTACATGATGTTTACTATAAACTACAAAATCCGCTAAGTGCAAAACCTTGTTTTACGAGTGATGATGAATTTTGTTTTCAGGTTTATATGAAAGCAAAGGTTAATACAAAATAAATCAGTAATTTTCATTTCTTTCAAGAAAATTAAACTCTTATAAGTTTAATTGAACTCACGAATCAGTCCCAAACAATTCTGTTCTTGAATATAAATACAAATAATATATACAACAGATGTGAAACATTTTCGGTTTCTCAATATGAAAATTGGAAATCTGGTACATGAGATTTATGAATGTGTTTATTTGATCTTACAATTATCAATAAATACAATATTTTTACAGTTTATTAACAAATATTAATGTATTGATATAGATGACATCATTTATCATAAAAGCTATTCAATGTTTGGATGATATTTTCATCAAAAATCATAAAATAGAACAAGACAAATTCTACACAATTAAACATGGTTTTATTTCTCAATCATTTATGAATAAAATGTTGTCGCTAGATAAACTTAAAGATATTAATACGAAAGAATAGAAAACATCGTACCTAACGAAAGTATTAAAATGAGAATACGTTCCCATCAAGAAAACAAACTTTATTAGCTGTTGCAATTAATTAAAAAAAATGTACGGTCTATCAAGTTAAGCTTCTTACTTTCTTAAAGAATACGTAATTATATTTAGTTTCATATTAAACAAAACTAAGTCTATTCTCATAAATTTCACCGTGGGAAAGTGTTAGAACCCACAAGATGAGTTTAAAAATAAGGTTATACCTGCATCTGAAAAGATACC